CACAGAGTGGTGGACAACCTAGTATTCTTATAAAATGCTATTGTATTATTTTCTTTTCGAGTGTTCATTATCTTTTAAATATTCATAATATTGCGGAAGTTACACCTCGCCCTTTTCTTTAAAACTATTTTTGCATGTATTTTATCAATAACTTACATTTCAAGCAATTTATTGTATTGATATTGAAGATATCTATGGGGTCAACATGACCTCATATCAGGTGTTTAAATAACCATTTAAATTTACTTCTTAAAGTAATAAAAAAATATGCAGAATGGTTTCACATTATGAGTAGTATTATTAATGACTTTCATATTAAAAATAGTCCACCATATTTTTATATTTCATTATTTTATAAGAATTCAATTGTTTTTCATTTAATATGTAGAGAATATGTTTTTTTTCTTCATCCAATTATCAATTGCATACAGATCGTGTTTTCTTATTTATATCATTCACAATATTCTTTTAAGCCCCAAGCGTTAACGTGTTTTACTTATATATATATATAATCGCAAAGACTTGTTTATCTTATTCTTAGAAATCCTAGTATTTATTTTTCCGTTTAACACAAGGAACAAAATGTTCTGATATTTTTTTTTCTCCCTCTTCTCGTCTCTTTAAAGCTTCTCTCCTCAAGGGGCGACTTGGTAACAACGCATCATTTTTTAAATATTTCGATTTTTCAAAACGTGCATCGTAATCTCCTCTGTTAATTTTGCTTGAATTTAGCCATTTGGCCAAGAGGAGAGACGTACCTTCTTAACTCAACCCTCATTATTTTTTCCCGCAAATAAGCCTAAGCCTCTTTCCCCAGCGAGGCAACAGAAATTCTAATTAGTTCGGGAACAATCTGTTTCCAGTTAACTCTAAATCGATGTGAATATGACTCTTGCGAGATGTTTAATTGAAAATTCCAAATTTTTTAAAAAAAGGAGATTAAGTCTGAAATATTTTGGCGAGTTTATTTTGGCTTGTTACTGTGATCCACATGCGGAATGACGTCATCACCGTTCCAAAGAAATCGTTTCTCATTAATCAAACAAAGGAAACGGCGGGGAATGCTGGTGCATTAAAAATCTTAAGTTTTATATTTTTATGTATCTGTTATTAATGTAGAAAAATTAAAAGCGAATAAGTTAAAAAATAAGAATAAGAGAATGAGAGCTCATATTTCTAATTTTCTTTACCACATGCGATTTGTGGATGAAGAATTGCAAAATATTTTGAGTTTTTTTTTTAATTAACTAAGCCTTTTGTTAAAATGTAAACTTCTTTAAATTAGGTTGGCTGTTTTTTGGTTATTTTACACAATACAAACAAAAGCAGTTAAGTATTTTAAGGAATCCTTTTATAAATTTATTGTTTTTTTTTTATTACTTATCAACCACCATTTTCGATTTATAAATATTCTTGCATTATTATCTGAAAAATGCAAAAAAAAATTTTTTTCTCATTAACATACATTTTAAATTTGCTTCAAATAATGGAATAAAATTAAATTTTTTTCTTAAAATTTGTAGGTATCAAATTTCTTCACAATTTTTAAAAGATATATGTTTGTTTTAATTCAAAACTGTTTCTTGGCAGTAGTTAGTCCATTTTGTTTTTACACAAGTTAAGGCATGCTTTACATTTTTTTTAAAAATTAGCTTTTCGATTTTGTGCCTTTTTGCTAAAATTTTTAAAAATTTTCAATAAAATTAAACAAACTTTTTGGAGCAAATTAAAATTAATTGTAATTTTTTTTTTGAATTTGAAAAACATTTTGTTTAAACTGTGCAATATATGAATAAGTATTTAAAGTAGTACTTTTATACTGCGCATGCGCTGAAGAAATTGAACCATTTTTTTAATATATATATATNAAACAAATTTTTTAAAGTAATTATAAACACCCCATTTCCATTCTGTTAGCATACCTAAAGGTAAAGAAAATCTATTTGATATTTTTTCTTAATTTTCTTCGTGTTTTTCTGTTTTTATTTATTATGATATGTATATATATATATATGTATATATATGTATATATGTATATATATATATATATTATATATCACTGCCTTAATCGATAATTATGTTAAAAAAGATATTGTGAAAAAATTAATTTTGAACAATTAATTTGTTTATTGTACTCAAACTACACCTCGAAAGAATGTGACAATTGTTTAAAAGTCATTACAAATTTCATTCGATCCGTTCTTTCTAAAAAATTGCAAAATTCAATTAATAAAGAATTTCATTTATTAAAGAATATTATTTAATAAAGAATTTCATTTTATAAAAAAATAATGAACTAATAATTAATCAATAATTGAATATTTAATGAAGAATTCTTTCTAAAATATTTCATTCGATCCATCTTTTCTGATGTCACATGAGTACACAAGGACATTTATAAAGTTCCTGGTTATGTATTTATGAAAGATCAAAATCTTGTAAAGTGGATATTGTATTTTTTAGTTTAAATCCGGTGTTGAACCCAGACCCAATTCTGAGTTTATGAATATCAGTGTTCAACTCCATAACTCAACCCTGCAAATAAGGAAACTTCTAAATCCAGCATTGGGACAAACCAGCCTTCATGGAGAACTCGTTGACAGATCTAACCCGCATTAGCTTTACATTGAGAAGAAAACCACGAATACTTTCAATTATTAGCTCGATGGCAATGGGATTCTAACAAACGATTCGCCTACCACTGAGGATATTTTACATCAGCATTTTGGTCAGTGCAATCCGGGAGCAGAAATTTAATCATCCAGTCACGACTGAGATTCAAACCTTTGTTACCTCATTGGGAGGCAAACACTCTAACCATTGAGCCACGGAGACTCTTAAAAAAATGATATTTTATAATTTTATTTTAAAAATATTGTTGAATTGCAGATCCAATTTTTGAGTTTACGACTAATAGTGTTCACCTCTGCAGCCTTATAATTTTGAACCAATCCAGAAGACAAGGGAACTCCTGGATTAAATACTAAGAGAATTTTTGCCTTCGTAAAGGACTTTTTGATAGAACTAAACCGAATATGCATTACATGGAGAGGAAAAGCTCGAAAACCTCCCACGGTTAATTTGACGTCAAGGTGTCCGCCGTCCATCATCCGTCTGTCACTCAGGATATTTTACGTCAACACCGTGGTCGGTGCGTTATCGTAATATCCATTACTGCGTTCGTCTAATGGCGAGTGCTTTATATCCTGACCCCCATGACTCTGTAAAGATGATTATAAAAATAAAACTTAAATCAATATACTTAAGTTGATTGAGTTTTTTGACATAATTAATATATTTCTCTCAATCTGAATTTAAGAATCCCTTTGATGCATCTATCACATTCGCAAGGCCAGTTTGTCTAATTTAGATAGAATAGACAGGTTGCGAATTCGGCGTATTCCTTATCACGGTTACAATAAATTCGAAAATAAAATTTTATTTCACGCAGCTTTAATATTTATACTATTCCAAATGAATAAGTTAAAGTTTTAATTAAAATTATTTAAAAAAACACTTTTTTGTGGATTCAAATTTTTCCATTTTAGGAAAATATCCCTTTAAATTCATGAATAATTAATATTCTAGAAATACGAATTAATATATACGAGGTGCGTAATCTTTCTGTATAAGTATGATTTTTTTAAAACTTGTGTCAAATTTACTGTTTCTTAAAATTTATAATTTCACATTTACCATTTCCCTGATATTGATACTACAGACAAATAGAACAAATAAAGTTGGCAGTTTTGACGTAACTTTAATGATGCTTCAAATTTGTATTCAGTGTAGAGAATTTTAAGTGTTTCAGTTTAAGTTCAACATAATCCGAGTATCGCGTTTAATTGAATGCCGTGCTTTCTGGGAGGAATCATGAATAAAAATAAACCTTTATCTTCTAGTAAGACTTTACTAATTGTAAAGGTATTAATGCCTCCAAACTGATACAAATTATATTATGCATCTAAATCTGGCTTCCGCTCTGGCATTTACAAGAATAAAGTGTTAAGAAATGTAAAACTTGCAATCAAAGGGGTTACAAATTCAAAATTTCATTTTGCACGGCAAATACAGAGAGAAGAAAAGCCCTGGGGATTCTCTCTTAAAAGGAGAAATATCTGAAAGACAGATGCACCACCTTGACTCTCAAGATATAATCTTTAAATAATTGATATAATCTTTCAAACCAGAAACAATGGCTCGGGGGAAAGGGGTGAAAATATAAAAGGGATTAAGGTTTACAAAAGCAAAATCATTACGGAAAGACAGGGTTAACCAGTAATTAGTCCCTGGAAAACCCTTTATGGGAATGCACTTCTGCTTCGAATTCTCCCATTGTACTCCATTGGGATTCGATTGACTCAGAGGAATTGTTTCTTTTGCGCTCGAGATCCGAAGTTGTTCTCCCGCTTTCGGGATTACATTGAGGGATTTAGGATTTCATGCTTTCATATTTATTCAAAACGCAAATTTTTAAGAACTACGCGTTCATTTTCACAGTAAATTTTAAATGTGTATTACCTATTAAAAAGACGACATGTCAAAATGGATATGAAAATCTTACGGTTTAAAAATGAAAGAAATAGCTGAAATTCGGTAAAATGAGAATTCGAAGAAAAAAAGGTTTACTTTACAATATTTGTATCAGTGGGAAATACAAATTACATTTAAATTAAAATTTGGTGCTAGAATTATGTTCCTGTGAAACCAAAGTTAACATATCTCTGACATCACTTGTCGAAAATATTTGTCTCAAACTAACTCACATAAATATACTATTTTTCATATAAAAATAAACTGTATGTTAGAAGTGTTCTTCTTTTAGTAGGGGGTAAAGTTGTGGCTAGTCCTTTTCGCATCTAGTTGTGTGTTTGTAGAATCTTCATTATACTTTTTAATTCCAAATAATTTCATTCAATTTCGAAAAAAAGGGTGAATTAAATCCAAATATATGTAGAATTCAATTTTGCTACCTCCAATGCTTCTCAGTGCTTAGCGGAATGACAAAACACCTCGGTGAGTTTGGTCCCTCGCTTTTATTGCTAATACTAACTTTAAGCAAACATTAAACAGTAATAATGATACCGTGATCGAAGGTTATTGTCCTTCCATAAAACACTTTGAAGCATGGAGGTCACATGTTCAATTCCCTCCGTAATCAGAAATATCTCTTCGTGATGTCTGTTCTTTTGCTTGACAAAAGCTTATAGGACAAATTTTATAATGAAGACACAAGTCTGTATGTGCTTGTTTACCAATAAATAAATGCAAAGAAACATATATATATATATANATATATATATATATATATATACATACTTATATATGGAGTTTTAGCGGTATTCGAATCCACGCTTCCAATTTAGATTATTGGACTAGCCTGACCTGGTTTAGCCTTAATCAAGCATTTCTATGATTGCAAATAATCATATTTTATAGTTTTAGCTTATAGCCTATATAGTTAAAAAATTAAATGACTAAAATAAAATTAACAAGTGACTACATTATTTATATTAATTGATATGGTAAAACTGTTAAAATTACCGGCTCTTTTTGGTAAGAATTTCCTTTAGATATTAATTTTACCAAATTTACTACCAATCAGCATAATAATAAAACCACATTTTTTTTAAAAATTTTACTAAGAGTTATTTCCAAAAAGCCACTGTGAAAAATACCGTAAATTTTTTTCTATAACCCGCCGAAAACATTATGTTTTTCCTCATTCTGGTACCTTTGACCCTACTTTTGTTTTCTCAGTGTATGGAAATCAAATGAAATCGAAGCACCAGTATCCATTGCAACTTCAAGCATGCTTGAAACCTCTGCCACTTTTCAACATGTTCAGCAATCTCTTCTACGACGCTATCAAGCATGCAACATTATCGGCTGTCTCAATTTTGAACATTTATTGTGAATGCTGTAATTCTGCAAATAAACACTTACAGTTAGTTTTGAAAATATACATATTTTTCCTCTCATTTTTGCGTTTATGCCTTATCCCGCCACTTTAAATTGTTCATTCCTGAACAAAAAATGCATGTTTTGGTACCCTCTGAGCCTAGAATTATGTGAGCTAAATCTTTTCATGCAATTGAAAAAGTATATTTTAAAGAAAACACCAATTAAAATTGAATAGCTTTTAAATATTTAAAGTAACTATTTTTTATGCTTCGTTTTGAATGACTTTAATCATTCATAAAATACTCAAACTTACTTAAAATACGCTTTTCAAAGTATTTTTTGTACTTAACTTTTTTGAAAAAGCAATACAAAAATACTGTTTACACATTCCAAAAGGAATATTTTCATTTTTGATAAATATTTCAGGCAAAAACAAGTTTAAGAAAAATAATTTCTGAACTTTTTTGCATTTCACATAATAAATTTTAGTTATTTTTATACATATTATTGAATAAAATTATAATGTAACTACATCTGTGAAAATCTTTTAATTTCTTTTAAATGTGTGATAAAAATTAAGTATTTTAATTTTTAAAAGGTCTTTTTTCTTGATCAGAAGCCAGATCTTTATTCCATTATTTTTTATGGAATCCTCCGAACAAATGAAGTTAATAAGTTGTTTGTGGCTAGAATGGCTAGAAATACAGAGTGCCATCATACGATTAAAGTCAAGACATTTATTTAAGACCTATCTTACTGCGGATTACTCATCATTTGTAGTCTTTTGAGGGTAGTAATACCCTATTATACACCATTACTTCAAACGAAACACGATCAATAGATTAATTCTGAAAGGGAAAAGAACTCTGAATCGTTTTTTCAGAAAGTGCAGTTAGACGAACTCTCTACAAGAATCTTTTTTTTTTAATGTTTCTCAGTAGTTGTGGTTCATTAGTAAAATAATGCGTCAACAATTGAAGTTCATTTAAAATACTGATTCTGGATTCTTTCATCTTTATAGTGAGGGGACATTTTCAGAAAATTAAAGGAATTGTTGACGTAGGATTTCTTATGTATTGATGAGTTTTAAGTGCTTGTTTCCTGGTATAATGTCTCACGAAAATTGTTTAGTTAGTAATAGTTTTATTTTATTTACCGAAAAATGTAAGTATAAATAAGGAATTAAGATTTTATTAGGAATAAGTATTGATAAAGGATAATTTTCTATACAAAAAAATCAATAGTTTTTACTTACTTTAAAAAGTAAAGATATACATTTTAAATCATTAATTATGCGTGTAAAATTATGATGGATTGAATTCATAAAATCAATTCAGATATTTAGAGTAAAGAGCTTAACTATTGCATATTATTGAGTTTGTTGTAGAACGCGAGTACAACGTAGCGAAATTTTGTATTTTTAAAGTTATTTACTACCACGTATTTTTTTTATAGTTATTCTTTTGAAACGTGTTTCTAAAAAAGTAATTACTTAAACTCAAGGGTAATGGAAATGCAAAAAAAAAAATAGTTATGTATTCAAAAGCAAAATTAATGGAAAAGTGGTACTAATTCGTTAAAGAGAAACGCAAAAAATCGCCATACTATTATTAACGCCAACATCTCTTGATTAGTTTAGGTAATATATGCATATTGAAATCAAAGAAATAGGCAATGTACTAAAAGATAACATTAATAGAGAAAAGGTACTTATTCGTTAAGAGGAAACGTTAAAAATTGTCGTACTATTATTGACGACAACGTTTAACTAAGGTTGGTAGTATGGATCAACTGAAATTTAAAAAAAAAAGCTATGCGCTGTAATAAAAAATAAGCTATGTATTTTCGAAATTCGTTTAAGGGAACCATAGAAAATCGTACTACACAGATGACGCTTAATTATTATGGTACTATGAACTACTGGTTTGTTTTAAATGGAGCTGTTTTGATAAGAGTTCTACAACAGGTTTTCTATTGTTTCAAAAAATATTTTTTCCAATTGTTGCAAAGATAGTATATTAATATTTTAATGAATTAGAATGATTACACTACTAAGTATAAATATTATAAACTGTAAGTTAAAGATCAGAATGAGAAATAGTCATGCTCTTAGGTCCTTATCAAATCGATTCTTTTTTTTATTCTGAACACATAATTACTGTTTTACTGTTAACATAAATTCTGTGGTTTTTTTTCTTTTTAATTCGGATTTGGTTTGCTGCCACTGCTAAATGTTGTATTTGTTGTGTTGAAGGTGCATATCATAAGTACCCAATGTATTGAAAAATAATTATAAAGCATTAAATTGATAATTTTGCCCCTTGAAAGGGATATGGTCCAGAAAAAATTGGTAGAGGAAAAATTTTGGCTATCATGAGTTGACCATGTGTATTAACGTCCTGCTAAGTGATGCAAAATACTGTTAATCTCAATTCTGATGGGATGAGCTACGACAAACTAATTTCGCTTAGTTTAGTAACATAAAATCATGGGAAATGTTTACAAATAATAATAAATAGAAGAAGTTAAATTATTTCATCTTTATTAAGGGCATTGAAGGACAGAGAGGCTGTACAGAGAATACGAAAAAAAGGGATATCATATCCAAACTATTTTATTACCAATATATTAGAAACCGGGACTAATAATTCTTTCCCTTATTTTATTTAAAACTGATAATTTCGAATAGAAATCATGCAAGTATACTAAAAACTACTGTGGATTAGTTTGTTAAGATTAAAGTGAAGGCAAAAACAATTCTGTTACATTAAACATGCCTATATTGATGCAACCAATTTATGTTATTTTCTCTGATTCATTAATTCCCTTAAAAAAGGTAAGTGATTTACCTGGTTCTATATATATACTGTAAAACAAAACGCTGTTAGAAAACACCAGCACCGCGAATATTTATTACATTATTTTTTGTGTAAAGTAGTGAGCACCATTTTTGGTGATTAGTACAATAAAATTATAAAATTTAATCTAGTTTCATGGAGTTCAAATTCTTAGCAATTATTAGCACATCTTCTATTTAAAAAACGAATTTTAAATTTTTCTTTCCTTTTCACAAAAGATAACTTGAATATAGATTTGTAAATGTTAGTTTTCTTACGACATTTTTATTTTATTTTGTTTTTCTGTTGCATTTACGTATTAAATAATTAATATAAATTACCAATTTTATATGAATTACAGGCAATTTTTTTGTGAATTCCAGACAATGCTTTTGGACTATGCCAATTTGCTTTTGGTGACGACAATGATCAATATCACCACTTTTTGAAATCTGACACAATACATCTATTAGAAAAGGAGTTCACACGACTTTTTGCTGGAGGTTATCGTTGGAGACATGAATATACACAATGTGTTGTTCAAAATATCCTATATTCCAGTCGACATAAAATATTTTATGATCCTGGGCTGTGTTCTCGAATCATGCAGTTCACTCTACCAGATGTGGTAAGTACAACACACTGATACAACAATTAAAACGTAATTTATAATTCAAGAAAAATATTTACAAAAAATATTAATAAAATATCAATCCTTTTCATATTAAAAAGAGATATAATCTCAATATTTCATTCAAAAACAAATAAAGACTAACTTAATTTAAATGGAATCTTGAAATCTTAAATGATAGTTTATTTGATTTATATAACCAGTTTTTAGGTTCCTTAAATTACATTAAAAAAAAGTTATGCCTAATGAGAAATTGAACAACTTATACAAGATACGAAAAATATTTTAAGTCAATAAAGCTGCCAATTTTTCATAATGAAGAAAAAGGATCTTACTAATAAGAGAGACCGCTACCATCTCTCATGAAGGCTAATTCAAAATTAATCTCAAAATTAAACTTCTTCTAATTACTATTTGACTAATGAAAGTCTTTATCATTGCAAGTATTTGACAGGTTTCTAACCAACATATTCTTCATATAAGAACATAAACATCACATTTATGCTTTAATTTAAGGTACAACATTAGTAAAACATCACATTTATGCTTTAATTTAAGGTACAACATTAGTAAGCCTTCAAAACATAATTAATGCATTTCAACTGATGTATCAAGCGAATTTAACTAAATTATATTACTACCGAAGTTATTTTAATAACAATAATTAACTATTATTTTGACTTAAAATGAAAGTTGTGAACCTATATTCGCGACAAAGCTAATTTTAAGCATTAATAAGGCTACGACAGTCTTTTTACATAATTTTCTAATAGTTTTGCCAAGTAACGCTTTTTATTGCTAAATTTATTAGTTTTTTTTACTTAATCATTTAAATACCTTGCCATCATGTACAAGTCATAAAACAATAGTAATAAAAATCATTTTTCGTTTACCGTCTGTTACGAGAAAGTAAATCTCGAAGAAAAAAAAGTAATTTAAATTATTAAATATTTTAATATTTAATAATTTAAATTTGTAATAATAATTATTGAGTAAAAATAATTATCTACTATTTTATGAGTCAAATTTTGTGCCATCTATTATGGCTAGGCTTATAGTACAGTAAACTTTTAAAAAAATTTCACTTCGAAAAAATTGGTTTTTGTTTTAAATAAATTGATTTTCTCCCCCCAAAAAATATTTTTAGAAGACATTAAAATCATATTATATTCGTCATAAAGTATTTTTTCCTAATAAATTTTCATGCTATTGGTTAAAATTTTAGCAAATGAATTAAAGATACAAAATTTATTTCGAACTTTACAATCGAAATTGATTCCACTTTAATTCTTTTAGATATTTTATTAATTTACTATGCTGATTAGATTATTTAAAATACCACCTATCTAAAGGTAAAATAAAAGCAAGTTTTACTGAAAACTGAATAATATGTATATTTTTTGAATGTAGAAGCATTTAAAAATGAGTGAATAGTGTTAGTAAAACTTACTAAATCATCAAAAGTTTATGCTAAATAAAATAAATTTGCACTTCAAATGATGCTTTAAAAATTAAAACAAAGCTTACCGTCTCCATGGTGGAAAATCTCGCATCCTTTCTACGATTTGTTTGGATATAACAATAACTTAAGTTTCGGAACTGGGATATTTTGCATTGAAATTTGAGTATTTGTTCTACAATCAAACCGGAAGTTTTCTTTAAACATATGCTTACCTTTCAGAATTGATAATTAATTTACAGAACTGATCATTAAACGCGGTTTTCTGTAGATCACCGAAGTCATCACTGACTTGACGGTAGTCAGTGAACCGATTTGTAACCACTTTGATCATCCTGCGAGGGGAAAGAGGGTACTTGGTAACTGTCCTCGTCTTCGAGCGTCGGTTATCAGGCTACAAAAGAAGGAAAGGGCCTGAGTAAGTACCCGAGACCCCAGATGCTTCTTTAGACTTGAATTCCGAGATCACCTTTCCGATCCGAGATTCTTCATTTAAATTCGAGTGCCAGTTCAATACTTTTTTTCAAATTCAGTATTTTTTGTATTTCTTTTTATTTTTCTCTCATAAATATTGAGGCTTGTGTACTCATTAAAGCTTATAAGCCCTTATCAAGTTGAGGAACAAATCGTACAAGTTAGAGAAAGAATTTACAAAGATGCAGCCACGGTTACGGAGGGATTCGAATCCGCCACTTTCTCACTACTGAGCGTTTGGTGAGATGGTGAGTCTGCTGAACCAGTCCCCAAGTTCATTTATTTAACACAATACGCTTATAAAAGAATCTAGATTCTTATTTACAAGAGCAATCGAAAAATATAAATTAAGATCGGTTATTACATATTACTCCGCATGAACATCTCTCTTCATGAGAGTATATTTAAATTAAATCATGAAGTTAAAAATTTATACTGAGCACTTTAAATAACAGGTTTATGAAGTTATTATATAATAATTATTAATAATAATATTGACATATAATAATATTTTAAGCCAAAACTTTTTTCATATTTGATTTTTAAAACTTTATTTATGTCATTTTTTAAAATTTTTTAAAGCCACCTGATATACTACTGGACATTGAAACACCTGATCCTGAAGAATTAGCTTTTATTAAGTAAGTTTTATTCAATAATATTTAAGAATAATTTTTGTGTTAATAATATGTATATATTTATTAACTACAGATGGGGCATATAAAAATACATTTCTAATAAGTATTTTAAGAATACATCAAATGAAGTTAAAATGTATAAACATTTCAGGTCTCAAACTAGGTTACATTAAAGCGAAGGAAAAAAAATAGCATTTGAAGTATATCGAATTACTAATAATGAAGGAAAAATTAAAGAAATCAAAATTTATTGAATTGCCTAACGAAACTTGAAGTCATTTCGAAACAGACTCCACTCGTTTCCTCTTACAATTAAATTAAGATTATTTATATTTGTTTTCCGTAATAAATGTGCTTTAAATTAAAAAAAAAAGTTTTAATATTTTCCCCACTTAAATATTATTTGAGATAAGCATATATTATTCTAATTATTATACATTCTTGTCACGAGTTCTAATTATACATACCAACGATGCTCATCACGGTACAGCCTGTAGTATCTTGATTATGATATGTCGTAAAACATAAAGTCAAGATGGGTAAAATAGAGAACTTCAAGTTAAAAGCCATAACTTGGAGCTAACTAGAAAATCACTTTAAAAGTTACAAAAGTTTTAAGTTAAAAAGTGCGTAACTGTATTGTATGTAAACAAATCCTTAACTTTTAACTGTTAGTGAACTTAAGTGCTTCTATTAATTGCTTGAAAAATTCCTATTTCCTAAATTTGGCAAAGGCAGTTAATAATCTCAAAATTTATGCAAAAATCTCTGTTTTTTGCTATTTTCAGTTTTTCGCACGCTGAATGCACAAAAAAGAAGAAGAAAATACGGACTACTCTGAATAACTTTTGATATAATCCGTACTTTCACTGAATAAATTGACTTTTCTTTCGACAGATTCAGATTTCACCCTCCCAAGGCGTAGTTGGCAGCTCGAATCTAGGATGTATGGTTCCATCAGGAAAGCGATCTAAAGTTTTCACCTCTTAATGTTAATTTTACATTTTGCAAATTTCACCATATTTCGAGAACTTTTTAAAACTTTTCAATCGAAAATATTTGCACATAACTATAAAATTATAAGTTTATAAAATATATTTATTCGTCTGTAAAATTTACAGAAATTCAAAATTATCTTCAGATAATTAGAATTATTAACTATTGAACATGGTTGAAAGAAAAAAAAACGATTGCCTTTCTACAGCTAGCAGAAATGCAACTACAATGTTGAAATTAAGCATGCTGTAGGGGCCAAAAATTATTTACGACTTTAAATCAAACTTTTGTTGAAATTTGAAGTAGTTTAAAAAATATTGCTATCTTACGTGCTTTTTGTTTATTTGTTTGTTTGCTTTTTGTGAATTTTTTCTTATTATTTTTTGTTTGTTTACGCTTTATTTTACTTTTCCGGAGAAACATTATGAGACTTAGAAACTTGAAATAATGAAAAGTGTACAGGAAATGCACAAGGATCTCAATTGCATAAGAAAATAGCGATTCGATAATTAGTTAGAGAATTATTAACATTTTAACTTGTAGTAATATATATATATATATATATATATATATATTGCGCTTGCTGGAAGGAAATTACTATGTTAAAATTTAATGTGTTGACAGGACCATTTGGAATAATAGTTTAATGAGACTTAACTTCGAATTTGTTAGAAAGTTATGTCAACTTTAATTATTTCTTTCTTATTATTTTTTTTTAAATAATAGCTTTGTAAAATGTAGTTTTTAATAATATTTTACGCATTGTAACAGAAACTTATTTATCTCGCGAGTTTTGCTGTATAAACTCGTTCTTGATTAGGTCAAAAGTAACAAAAGCATGAATTAGGCCCTGTTAGATATAAATCGTAACATTTATATCAAAATTTATAAAATAATGTAAAGACTGAAAAGAGATAAGAAGTTGATTTCAATGCGAACTATTATAGGATATTAGGTTATTAATAGATATTAATAAAAACAAAAATTACGTCTTTTTGTGTCACTTATTCTGTATTCCTAAGTTTAAATATTTTTCAAGTACAGTTTATTTGTTTTCAAACCCAAATATCCTTTCATTTCGTTACAATTTACTAATAAGCAAAATGTATTTACATATTAATAAAATGTATTTGCATATTAATAAAATGTATTTTGATAAAATTATAATAATTATATAACTTATAAACAAAATTATCTTTTTTTAGCGACTTTTAAGATTTGAAAAAAAATGAATGAGAAGAAACCATAAGGGTTGCTGAGGGGAGTCTTCTAGTATTTTAAAAAAGAATCGAATACTAATGCTGTCTTAAAAAGAACGATTTGTTGTCGAAAAATGATAAAATATTTTGTTTTTATGTAAACCTCAACCTATCTGAGACCCCTAAATCATTGCTGGAGCTAAGCAAGATTTTATTTTTGTTTTTAATGGCTTGAAATGAATTTAACAGGCATAAATGCATTAACAGTAACACTTCTGTAAGAGAAAAAAAAAGCTTCTCTCATCGCTTTTGCGGTTTTTTCACAATATAATACTTCGTGATATTATTGGCCAGGCATTTTAAATAGGTGGCGTAAACATATGGACGCTACTGTAAAAAGAAGGAATCTTGAAAAAATCCGGCATTCTGATTAATACAAAACGGGCCAAGAGTTTAAAAAAAATATATATATTTTGCACGATTAATGTTCTTTTTTTCCTTCAATTTTCATACTCTTTTTCTTAACGATAATTTTCCTGAAAGCGTGAGTTAGTTTCTTTAGTATATTTAATCATTTAATTTTTAATATAAAATTCTAAGATATGAACAAACTCATTGAACGTAGTTAGAACAATATAGAGTTACTCGCTTTTCTAATCGTGACTTTTTACATCAAACCATTCATTTGCATTTTTTTCTTGATAATTTACACGCTCCTGTAATTCCCGTTGAAAATAAACAGTAAAATACTGCTAAACATTTCATTGCACATATTAAGCTCTCTTTTGATAATAGGACTTAAGATTATATTTACCCAGGCTGTTCATTTGTATTGATTGTAAGAAATAAATTTTGCTTAATGATGTTTTATTACTTGTATCTTTAGATTTAAACCGAACAGGAAAGACTCAGACGGGACTATGTTCGCTGAAGAATTATTCACTCCCCCAATATTTTCGGAACGACAATCTGAAGAAGATGAAAATGAGACGCCTGAATCAGATCCTGAGACACACTGGTTGCATGAATACCGCAATAAACGGTTTCCTACCCGCCCAGAAGAAACACCACTTGCTGGAAAAAAAGATGTTCTTCGGGAACTGATAAAAACAACTGAAGACACCGGGAAGCTTTTGAACGGAATTCGAGAAAACTCTGATAGATATTCAGATAATGACGTAAGTTTCATTAGTAAGAAGTATCTATGCAATTATTTTTGAATGTGGAATTAGTTCATTTTGGAAAGAGGTATAAATCTGAAGCTTTTAATAAATTTAAAAATATTGGTGAAAAGGTTAATCAATTTGAGTGATATTTTGTACTCTATAATTTGATTAAACATTAAAATGTAACAATGAATATTTAAATCATTCAAAAATAAATAAATAAAAATTAAATTCTTAGAGCGAAATAAATGGACTTATCCCACTTTCGAAACTAACGACACAGTTTTTGAAACTTTGTTTCGAAGAAAGAGCTGAAAATGGTTATATTTTTCATCAATTATATTTTATTTGTTATTTGGGCTCGGGTCAATTCTGATTGAAAGTCTTTGGTCACAAAAAGTGAGCTCGAACTCAACCCTCATATTTTTTCTAATAGATTTTGTTTTAATTTTTTTATAACCGTCGTTGAATAGTTAACACAGTTTTTGGGTTTACGACTAATAATGTTCAATTCCGAAGCCTTATAATTTTGAACCCAATCCAGAACATACCAAATTCTTAGAACAAACCAAATGGACTTATTCCACGTTCAAAACTAACGACACAGTTCTTGAAACTCAGCTATGAAGAAAAAGCTGAAAATGGTTATGTTTTTCATCAATTAGTTCATAAGTGTCCCTAACAGGTCTTTGGTGGTAGTTTGGGTTCTAGTTACTCGGGCTTCGGTTAATTCTGATTGAAAGTCTTTGGACATAAAAAGTGAGCTCAAACTCAACTCTTTTTTTTTCAATAAATTTTATTTTATTTTTCATTTTATAACCGTCGTTGAACAGTCAACCCAGTTTATAGGTTTACGCCTACTAATGTTCAATTCCATAGCCTTGTAATTTTGAACCCAATTCAGAAGCCAAGGGAACTCCTGGATCAAGTATTGGGAGAAATTTCCCTTCCTGGAGGAATTTTCGATGCAACTAACTCGCATTTGCGTTTCATGAAGAGGAAGACTACGTGAACGTCCTCCCGCGGTTAGCCTGATGGGAAGGGGACTCTAACCCATTATCCGTCTACTACTGAGAATATTTCCCGTTAGCACTGTGGTCGGTGCGAGTCGGATGCGGAATTCGTATCTACCAACCATCGCTAAAATTTGAACCCGGTTCAACTTATTGGAAAGCGAATGCTCTATTCCTTGAGCCATCATGTGTCTAATAGAATGATGCAAAACGAAAACAGAATGCTTACTCTATAGAACAGAATGTCATAGGTTGAGACAAGAACAACTTTGGGTATTCACTTCAGTTCCAAGCACATAAATATGCATTATATTAAATTCGAAAATAATTTTCAAAATTACGAATAAACAAGAAAAATTTTTATATTTTAAAATACTTAAATTAAAGCATAACTTGTTTCGTTTGCTAAGATTTATCATATTTTACGAAAACATCAACCAACATTAAAATTGAACAAGCATGTAACAGCAATTTATTATGAACTACATTCAGTCAAAATAACAAAGGAAACGATTTAAAATAATCCTAAGAATAATATTTTAATAGTTCCCGCAAACACAGTGAGGCAAGGTAAAACAAAAACTTCATTAAGAAAGGCTTTTAATTCATACGAGCCAAAGCGGAAACTTTTGCTATTTAGTTGAATGACTAAATGAAAGAATAGATTGTATTGCGTTTAAGCTACATTACCTCGCGATTTTTTTCTATCATAACTTTTTTAAGCTATTTAAATATTATTTTGAGCGACTTAATTTTGCTTAAATCATTTATACAATTTTGCATTTATATCGAGCTTTACATCATCTGCTTTCCAAGGGATTTATATTTTTAATTATTGTTGCTTGATCAAAATGTACCTTTATTTTTCACTTTGTTCATCATTGAACTACGCTCCACTAACTTCTAACGTTAAGTTACTAAACTTTTATTTAACTTTTACTTGCGCTCCGCTTTGAAAAATTACAGCTAATTTGGTTCAGTAGTTTATCTAAAAGCACTGATATAAAATAAATTAGTTTTTCCTTTAAACAAAGATAAGTAAAGTTTTGTAAATAAAACAAAAATTGAAGTTAAAAAAATTATAGAAATTTTGAAAAAGGAAACTGGTTGGTTGGTTGGTGTCGTATCCTCTATAGAATCATATTTCATGGTGTGCTTGAATAGTTTTTGTTATTTCTGAAAAAGGAAACTGTTTTAGGAGTTTGTTTGTTCATAATGTAAGTTTTATTTTATAAGGAACACGTTACTAAATTCTTATTGCTATTATTAATAAAAATTTAAAAAAGATACAAGAAAGCAGTTTTTTTTCTTTCTTTATTTTTCTTTTGGCTTTCTATTAAATGCAATTTTATTTTATCACCTAAGTAAATTTCAAACATGCTTTTTTTTGTGAAAGTTCGCCTAATGTTTTTAGACAGAAACAATAGGTATCTATTGTAATGTAATTATTTTTATCCTAGAATATAATACCAATGCATTTGGTATATTTGAAATGTTATGTTGTTGCAGGTAATAGAGAAAAGAATTACATCGAACATCTATTTTATCATTTAGTTAAGTTGGTTGTAAAGTTAATGGCATTTTTTAACTTACCACATTTCGTATTATTAAATTTAACTTTTTAAAGATTCGAAAATTAGCAACGTTAAGTAAGATTATTTGTTTGCACGAAATTTATAACTTTAAATATTTACAGAAATTTTAAATTTACAAAATCAGTAGTCAATTTAAAACTAATATTTAAAAACTTTTGTTTACAGCTAAAATTTTAATTAATTTTTCTCTTTTAATTTTCTTATAAAATAAATTCTATATGTATTGGAAAAGAAAAACCATGTTCTTGCTCCTTACGTTAATAATAAAATGTTAACTATTCGTTATGATTTAGTGTTCCTGTTTCCAATCCATCACAGTTCTGTTTTTAAAGTTCTAAAGATTTTAAATAAGTTTATTAACATGAAGTAGTTTCAAGCAACTCAATGAAATCATTAAATTCACAAAGTTGTTACTGTATCACATAATCTATACAGTTTTGTTACCATTACACAGCTTATACTAAGAATTTCTACATCCATTTTGGAAATGATAAAAAAAATATCTAAATATTTACTTGGTAACTGAGTTGATTCCAATAAAAATACAGATTTCTAAAGAAACAATTTACTTATAACTAGCTATATAACATTACTTAAATTATTAAAGACACTCTAACAAAATGAATTTGCACTGAGAAAAAAAAAGTAAGATTAAAACTACTTAAATTTAGTAACATTTACCGTTTTTTTGGCTCTATGTAAACACCGAAATGCTAAATTTTTATTGAAGTGCTTTGATAATGACTTTGGTAAAATTAGCAATAAAAAGTGATTTTATAATATGTGATGAAATTTGATAATTTTATCATGATACCTAAGAGCATGGTATAACAGCAGTTTAATTGGTTAAATTAATCTTTCAGTTTTGTATTTTCAACTAAATGTGTGTAGTAATAAGAACAATAATCTTGAAAACCAGAATTTGAGGTAAACTATAATCATATGAACGATTTAAATTATTAGATTAATGGTGTAAATACCGGATAGTTTGGTTTTATTTTTTTACCAGAAAAGTCATTACTATAGAATACAGTAATTATATCAGAATTTTTTAGTTCGTGTAAGTAAATACTTAACGAATAACTCATTTTTTAGCATTACTTAAATAATTAAAGACAACCTAACAAAATGAATAATGGATATAGTATTGCCAATAGATGGAGAAATACTCAAGCTAATGATGCCACGTGAGAAAAATACATGTAGAGATTATTTCAATCATTCATGGAAACTTTAGATCATTATTCTTCAGTTTCTCCTCTTTGTTATTTTAAATCACTCTGACACCATAGATGACTCTTTTTATTCCTGAAGTTTTTTTCTCTTTTTCAATTGATGCCTGAAAGATAATACATACTAGAAGCTCTTCACATTCAACTCGTTCAAAATTTAATTACATATATTTAAACAAAATTCTGAGAAATACTCGTTTGTATTTCTGTGTAAATAATATGAATGTTTCCTACTGAATAAGTGAAAAATTACCTTTATATTTAAAAAAATGCAATAAATCAGCTAGTTTGTATTGCCAATTTTATGCTTTCCTTCAAAAAAACTCTTAAAATTTTTACTGTCACGTTTTATCTTTTCAATTTAAAATTTTGGGAATGCGTGCAAAACGGAAAATGAGAAACAAATACAATTTACACAACAGTTGTGCAAATAATTTGTAAAGCGCTGTTGATCCATAGCATAAAAAATTTATGTCTTTATTTACATAAATTTACACCATAAATTATAAATTTCACGTTATGATAAACAAAATTGTGAATTTGCAACACATTTGTTTTTAAATTTTGAAAGTAAATTAATAAAAAATTTGAATATTTTCTATAAAAAATGAGAATATTTCAACAAATTTTGAACTTGTTTAGGCTTAAAGTGGCTAATTTTTTGCTGTAAAAATTTTGGTGTACAGTTGTCACCATTTCTAATGATGAGGTAAAATAAAATTTATAACAAAGCGTGTAGTCACATTTATTTTTTCACTGTTATAGTTTTTCATATTTGTTTATTCATATTTTGTTTGTTTGTTTATTAGCAACCCATATTTTAATCTCGTTGAAATTTATTTACGACAAGCACATTTTTAGCAATACGTTTATTTTTTTTAAACAATTGTTATTTTGTCAATTTTACCTAATTGTTTTACGACAACTACAGTTATGTACTTAAAAAGGTTTTTAGCTTATGTTTCAATTCATTACATTCGTTCGCGTTATGTTATTTTGTATAGTAATTTAAAATTCGATATATTTTGAACTATATGCTTATATTTTTAATGATTTCTTCAAGAATTTAATAATAGGAATTCTCAATACCACAGATTGTCTAAAATTTTATTATAATTGTAAATTCCATTGGTAAAGACATTAAACAATCTAGAACTGTAGAGGTGAGTATTTGAGAACAAAGGATATTCTATGCTCTCCATATTTATCCACATTCACAATTCTACTACCAAAAATATGAATTCATAATTCATCTTTCTTCAAACCATACTAAAACTTAGAAAATGTTACGTGGATATAAACTCTTCACCTGAATTAAATAACGTTTTTTATAGATTGGTAATCACCATATACCGAAAAATATGTACTTACTGTATTAGGGAAACTGTGAGTGCTGTTCAAAATTCCCACAATTGAGTGTTAATTGAGTTGTGTCGTTTATTTGCAATTGTGAGGGTCGTTGTGAACTTGGAAATTTAATAACATAAGAAAGTTTAAAGTGAGATCAATATGACAATTCTACAATGAAAATGGCTCATCCATTAATTATCATTCAGTAATAACCGAGTTTTATATTTTAGATGTTATTTTTTAACCAATAATCCTTTTTTTTCGTAATTAACTAATAATTTGTTCAACAGAAACTGCAGGTTTCTTTTTTTTAAAAAAGAATAGATATAATTCTTTCAAAAGGCTTAACTAAAATGCTCATCAAACTTTTGTTTAACGAAATGAAGTTAGCGTGAGACTTTAGCTCAGCTGATTTAAAAATAAAAAAATACTGATGTTTACAATTCCCCCTTTTCACAATTACCGACTTTGGCCCTAAATTTCAAAAAAACTAAAAAAATTGAAAATCATTAAAATTATGCTCTTTTCCGTTAAATAAACCAATTCATCTTTTAATTTTGAATTCAATTTTAACTTTTATTTACCATTTTCACAATAACTGTAATATTAAACCTCATTTTTTAATATTCTCCAAAATATTCTGCATTTTTCACGTCAAAGATTCATTGTTTTTGATATAGTAGTTTATTATTTATGAGTCTTAAAACACCTTCTGTTAATTCCACGCTGTATATTTATCGATAGTAAATTATTAAAAAAATAATAAGAAGTTTACTTAATTAATGAAAATTAATGAACATTTTTTCGCTATTACCCTGATTGGTGCATCCTATTTCCCGGCGTCATGTAATATGAAACTGAATGCATGTTTTTCTTACTTGCGTTTGTCAAAATTTAAATAATCGGTATTAAGTGATCACTCTATCGCAGGCTATAAACATGACATTTATCTGATTTATTTATATTTTTGATTAAAATATTAAACGGAAATCGTTGTTATTTTACTTGTAAATAATAAAAAATAAAAAATTTAATGGATTGAATTGTTTTAAATTTCGTTTAGAAATCTTAGATATTTTAATAAATTTGCTTAAGATAAAATTATAACTATGCAGTAAAACTTAGTGTGCTAGCATTTCTTTTTTCATTTCTTTTAGCATTTCTTTTTTCTGTGTTAGCATCTCAAAATTGCAATACCCATTTATAGTGATAGATATCCTTGAAAATACCAGTAATTCTTTTAAAAAAAGTTACATTTGTATAAGCTTAATTTTAAGAATAGGTGATTAGAAATAGGTTATTTTCATGTATTACTAGAGGAGGAAAAATAACAGGAATATTTCAGTTATCTGTCATTAAGTAAAATAATAAAGATTGAATTTAAAAATAATGCGAATATATTCTTTTAATTACAATCCTTGAATTTGAAAACAAAATTACAATACCCATTTATAGTGATAGATATCTTTGAAAATGCCAGTAATTATTTTTAAAAATGTTATATTATTATAAACATAATTTTAAAAATAGGTGATTAGAAATAGGTTATTTTCATGTATTACTAGAGGACGAAAAATAACCGAAATATTTCAGTTATCTTTCATTAAGTGAAATCCATACTTAAAAAATAATGCGAATATAGTTTTTTAATTACAATCTTTAGATTGAAAAACAAAATTGTAATATTCATTTATAAATATCTTTGAAAATACCAGTAATTCTTTAAAAAAAATTAAGAAAAGTCAATTATTTATCGAATATTTTTTCTCTTCTACAAATATATCTAATAACTTCTATCATAAAGAAAAGAAAGTCTGGACTACTTAAAGTAACACATTTTATTGTCACTTATTTTATATTCTCATATTTTAATGCTGAAACAAATGGCTGGTTTTCATTTATTTTAGATGCAAATCAAATCAGACTTTCCATCAGGTCTTAATCAAAAGGAAGCACTGAGAGAAGGCAGTATTGAGTTTTTACCGATAGAAGATAATGAATTTCCAGAGGACGAGCTTCTTGATCCCTTTGACAAGAAGAGAGTGGTGCAACTTACTGATCATTACAATTCCCAGGATCAAGACACACATCCGATTGTGAAGATTAGCAGTGATCAAGAAAATCCGTCGGCGCAAAAGTCGGGGTATAACGCCGATGAAGAAATCCCAACTTTCGGAAGAATTAGAGGAGAAGATAATGAAGATGTGAATTTCCGTTGGAATGCAAAACACAGGACTAAATTTATGGATGATGATCTGACTCGATTTGCTAAAGGTGATCCAGCGAGACAAGAGCGAGTCAAGAATCTTAATTTTGAACCAGAATCAACAGATAATAATAATTTAAGTGGTAAGCTTTATTTACACTCATTTATTGATTCTATATTATTCCCTTAAAATTAAATACATTTGAGTAGTTTTTATTAAAATATCTTCAATTTGATAATTTTTTTAAAGTTTCAGAACATTTTATTATTAAATTTGTCTTAGGCATGATAAAATGTTTCATTAATAATATATTGCAAATCAAAGGAATAAATAAAAATTACTATAGATGAATCAACTTATATTAAATTCAATTCGATGTTAATTCTCAGTACATTAGTTTGAATTCAATTATTTTATGAGAAATATTTACTATAATCAAATTTATCTAACTAAAATGAGTAATTTTATATTAACTACTATAAGGAAATGTGCACACCTTTTAAGCAAAAACTCAGTGGGAAATTGTCTATGCAACAAACTTATACCTTTTCGCGGTGGCTAAAAAAATTACTTATAGCTTTAATGAGGTTAAAAATTCAGATTTTAGAGCTTAAGTTTATAATAAGAAGACGTATTAATTTTTTTAAGAAAAAGTTTTTAAAACGAAATTTTTCTATTTGAGCGAATGTTTTTGCGTGTTTGCTGTCTATTTTTCTTTAAGAAAATGAACATTAAATCGAATAAATGAGAAATTACTACAATGTAATTTTAAAGGTATTATTTCCCAGAAACATATTTAATTTATTTCTTGTGATCTATACGCTAATAACTTATAACAGTTACTCTGAAGATTTTACAATAAGCATATCGAAGCAAAAATATTTTTCAAAATTTAAAAACACTTTTTTAAACGGGTTTTTGTGTGCCAAAAATTTTTAGAGTATTAAAAACACATTTTATGAACGTATTTTACACTTCATAAATATTTTACTATACTGAAAAAATTTACAGATATTGACATACTTTACAATTTTCCAACAGATGTGATTGAGAATGATTATTTAGAAGATCAGCTTTATGCCATTTTCCCAACAGCAAAAGGAATGCCAACATTTACTCGGGACATGCGATACGATACAAAAAAACCTGGCCCAACTTACATGCTTCATGACGATGAAGATGGCGATACCTCTCATGATGATGAAGAGGTAAAAGAAAAATACTATTACTCTCTTACCACCACGAGTCATATCCAGGATTGAAAAAACGATTGGTAGTAACAAAATATAACTATTTAGCTTGTTTTAATGCAAATCATTTTCCCAAAGAAAAAGCTCCCCTGATTATATATTATAACTGTTAATAAGTCACAAAAAATTATTACTCTTTTTTTAAAACAAGCTAGAAATTTTAAAAAAAAAATACCACAAATTTTTCTCAGTCCCGGATACGCGGTTCACGTGAGGCAGATTTTCAAAAACCGCACTGTAAAAAATTCCGGATCAAATTATGATATAAAGTACCGGCATTGATGCAACATCCGTAAAATCCATTTTTACTGTTAAATATTATACCATACTTTTTACAGTAACATTAGACTGATTTAATGATTTTATGATCATTATTACTACAAAAATTACGTTATATCAGATTTTTCGTTCCGCTACATGTTTCGGTAAACTCCCGTAACATGTTATATTCTTAACCTTTATTTGATCATGATTTATTTTTCAATGCAGCCGGTGAATATCTTTTATTAATGATTAAATAAAAATACAAATTCTACTACCAATATCAGTAGAAGTGATTTCTTTTAAAAATAAAAAGAAGTAAAGCATGGTGTAGATGAAATTATGAAATTATTCAAACAAATGCATCTTAAATATTTGAATAAACATCTTTAAACTATAAATTGAATTTTATACATTATGTATCTACAACTTTCACTTAAAACAACTTACAAAACTCCACTCACCTAACTTACAATAAGAAAACTTACGAAAATAAATTGCATTTTTATCTAGCAGCAACTTTTGATTAAAAGATGAGACTGATAACTGTGTAACAGTGATTTAATATATTTAAACTACAGTTATTACGATACTAAGAAAATCGTTATAGAAGTATTTTTAATACTTTTAAAACGACATTTCAAAGTATAAGAATGAATTCGATTAACTGCTAACTGTTTCAATAAATTTATTTCACAAATGTTTAAACCATTACATTTATTAACTAACTCTTATTGGCATATGAGTTTCATGTTTTATTTCATTCTCAGTTACAAGAATAAAGTAGTATAAAATTTTAAAATCAGTTCAGCACTTTTTTTGTACACTATGTTTATGTGAGCCCAAATATGAATTCCAATATACAAAAAAATAATTTTATTAAATATATAGAAAATAAACTTATGATATGCCATTGTTTCTTTAAATAAGTGAAAAAACAGAGATAAAATACTATTTATTTTACTTTTTATCAATATGAATACATGTGAAATCAAATATAATAAAATGACAGTTTTCTTTTGGACTTAAAATGTTTTCTCTTCAACTCCATAGATGGCGGGACAAGAAATGGACAGATTTTTATCTCATCTTACTCAGAATGTTGAGCATAACCAGTTGCTTTCACTGCTAAAGTCACCTGTTGGAGTTCATAAATCCTATAATACGTTTGTTCCGAATTTCGAAGTAACAGGTAAGAGCACGAAAAGCTTAAACATCTTTTTTTGACATTCCAAATCGTTTTCAAATTTAGTTGCTCATGTCTTGCTAAAAATGATGTTTGCGCATGCGTATTGTCAGTTTGAAAAGTTCTTTCTGTGTTTTTCTTTTTCTCCTGAACATTTAGTGCTTTCTTCCTCATGAAAAAGTGACATGTGGTAAATCAAATGTCGAAAAAGTGAAAAGATTCAAAAATCGTTTTCCCATCCTACTTATTTCCTTCAAAGCAGGGTTTTTATAGTTACGTTATTCTTTAGACTGACATAAAAAACTATCAACTTGTCCAAAAAAAAACTTGTGAAATAAGCAGTAAATGTTTTTTTCTTACCTGGGCAATGAAAGGAAATAAAATAAAGAGTTGTCACGTAAATTGAAAAACATATTATTTTCTGATTACTTTTTAAATGCCAAATAAAAAGAAAAGAAATTCAAATAACTATTACTAATTATAAGGAACAGATTTATAACTGCTATATATAACTATATCTAAATTGCCAATGAAGTTTGGTGAATGTGATGAATTTCAACGTATTTGGCCAGAGATTACAAATACGCGTGTAAAAAGATAATTTCTCTTGCAATCAACAAAACAATATCAGTTTCTTGTATGTTGACGTCCACTCCTTATGAGCGTTGTTCATTTATCGGTTGTACAAATACGTTGAGGTAGACTGTTTTAATTTTTTAAAATTCCTTTTAAGTTTTTGTTTTGAAGGCACTTAACCTTAAAAAAATGAACGATTTTTTCGAATAATTTTTAGGATCGATCCTAAAAATCGTTCAAAAATTTCACTTGGACAATTCATAATGGACATTTGAGTAATGAATTTTCTCGCTGATTTAGTATTAGTCATTGTTATACACAAATTAAACTTTAGGCGATTCTGTGTTTCTTCTCAAATATTTAAGAAATAACAGGTGCAATGTTAGCTAGTTTACGGTGTATTTTATTTATAAAAAAAGGGACTTTATTGCGTATTCTGTAATATCTAATTAATTTTTATACGTTCTGCATTTGATTTCAACCGACTCTTTATCGGCTTGCTTATTAACTAAATCTGTTGTAACATCTCTATTCTATAATCTACGTGACGCTACCAAGTGTACTAATTGTTTGCGTATTACAACGTACAAATTTCTATAATAACAGCAACTCGACTGAACAGACGCATTCTTGATGCCTTGACAACAAAAAATAAGATCAAGTATAATTAGAAATTTGAACTCATTGATATTATTACGTTGGGAAGAGCATTATTTTTACTTTATGTTTGGGATGTCTGTTTATAAAACATGTTTACATTTTATCACCATCAATATTAAATCATTAGTCGTTTTTGACTGACAAATATGATTTGAATGCTGTAAGGAAAGGTATTATACCTACTATATCATTGAACAACATGCAATAGTAATTCTTAAGTAAAACAATATTTGTTTCCAATTCCGTTTATTGCTTTAAATCTTTTCATTTATAGTCCAGTAAAATTAAACTTTTTTATCGGAAAAAATCCCAAGATTGTTTTGTTCATAGGAAGCTATGTTATATTATTACATGCTAATGTTACCTGGAAACTCCCCAACTCTCCTCTATTGTGCTTCCCTCCTTTTTCGAGATAATGGAGCTGATTTGAGGGGAAGAATTGAGTTTTTTTCTTGGCAAGCAAGTCGGACATTGTTCCTGATGTATTTTTAAGCGTTAAATCAAATGAGATTTTTTTTTCAAAAAAGATTCCGATTTCGTTTAAATTTTGTATTTTGGTATTTAAATTTGCATTCTTTAAAATTATAAAAACATTTTCATATCGTACAAATCATATATTTTTTTAAACTATTATTGAACAAAACAGCAAGAAATAATAAATAATTCTTAATTTTTTTTTACATGGAGTTGTAGTAGATAAACGAATTTTATTGTTGTGTTCAAAAATTTCCCTTCAAAAGTTATTGAGATATGGTTAAATATGCAGACAATAAATATGCGTCCAAGCTTTCGACCGCTTTCTATACCAAACTATTGAAACCATATTTGACTTACTGGTGTAAAAATATGGTCAAAACTACCTGAATTTACCTCTATGGGAACACAAAAAATCTAGATAATTTTTGTCGAAGTGTTGTGGTAATGATTTTGACTGAATTAATAATAAAATATCGTTTCATAATACGTAATAAGTGAAAAATTTGGAAATTGTGGTGAAATTTGGTAAATTTTATCATTATACCTAGAATATGGTATAAAAACTATTTATTCTGTTAAATTTTCGTTTATATTTTGTATTTCTTTGCTAATTTTGCAGTAATAGGAACTATTTTTTGAAAGTTTGAAAGCCAGAATTTTCGTTAAACCGTTACCATATGAATGTAAAAAATTACCAAATGAATGGTTCAAATGCCATTAATTACGGTTTCATTAACCAGAATTGCTTTTTTTTTTTACCAGAAACTGCAATATCTTTTATCTTACATTACGGTAATTCAACCAGGTTTTTTTTGTCTTCTCCGTTAAGATTGTAGTTATCTAATATGTTTTAGGTGTCAGTCACCCAAATTCGTCGAATAAAACGTGTATTTATTCAGAGAAAGTACGTTTCTTTGTATTTTCTCTGCTTTCTTAACTCAGAATATTGTCTACACTAATTAATTGGTATTTTCAAAGCTAGAATTTCATGCCATTAAAATTGAATCTTAGTACGTGAAAATCTGAACATATTAGATCGAATGCTACTCAAACTGATCCGTTTTCTTATTCGCATTTTATTTGTTTTATCAGGAACAGATTATATCAAGAATAACAAGAAACTTCCGTTTTAAAAACGCGCAAAAAAGTAAACAAAAAGTTAGCAAGCATTAGACTTCATAATAAGTATTGAATTAATGAAATTTTCAGTTAGCGCTTTATTAGCTCAATTAATTTTGCATTGACCTTGAGACTTCAGATTGACGTAAGAGAATTTATAGTTCAGCAATATTCTGCATACATTTAGATTCCGGTGCCATCAATGTTGGATTTTATCTGGAAATATTTCAACAAAAAACCTCAAATAATTATCTTAATATATTATTGCATTAATTATTTGAATTTTATATTGCATTATTATATTAAGTTTATATTATTACATTCATAATTATTCATTTCATTCCATCGACGCTGATTCTTAGATCACAAATGATATCAATTTTTGAGCCTGATACAAGTGATAAGACTATTTCGTTGCATTTCTGTTTATTCTGAATGTCAAACTATCTGAATACCGAATAAATATTTTATCCCACATAAGAAGAAGAAGGGTTACGTAGTAAGGCTGAATTTAAAGTATTTATTTTGCAAATCCTACATATACGCTGTTAAGGAAATAAATTATTCTTTGCTATATTCTTAAAATTCTTTACTCCGACTTATGCACTAAAATGGTATTTTAACTTAACTTGCTAGCTGAAAAGGTTTTCAGGCCCAATAATAATTAGGAACAAAATTTTAAATGTAGCTAAAGTTGACTTTCAAATGAGAGTTAAAATAAATGAATGTGCGTTTTTCTCATTCAATTTAATGAGAGTTCGAAAAAATGCTTAAATCTCACATCATTAGCCAAATACTGAAAAAGTATATCAAAAATATGCACTAAAACACTGACATGCACTATTACTTTGCAAAAACGTGAACCCTAATGTTTTAGACAGTATACATATACGATGGATTTGAAATTATTTGGGAGATTTCGCAGTTTTTCGTTATCATGCTTACTCTCCCGCATGTAAGCTTTGAAATTTTCCAATAAAATGTAGCAACATTCACAATATTATTGTATTCAATAATTATCGCTTTGTATAATATTCACGATATTGTTATATTCGATATACATAAGCGTATTATCGGCATCCACTCACCTGCGTAAATGTCTTGTTGGCGAATTTGTGTCAATTTTACTAATAACCGATAGATAAAGTTTTTTTTTTAAGTTTATGATATTTTCATTTAAAAGATAGTAATATAAAGTTTAAAATTTTAAAATTCGTGATCAGGAAAGACACGAATAATTAATTTTTATTATTAATGGTTGGTATTAACTTGTTATTTTAATAGTATTAAACGCATTCGAATTTAATAAGCATAAAAGCCTTGAAAATGAAATGCTGTATTGACGAAAGAGAATAAGCAAATTAATGTTTAACATTACCACAGTGAAATATAATATATTTCCGATACCTTATGTTAGATGGCATATTTGTTTGTAGCATGTTTTACTTCTGCACTTAAACTATGAGTTTATCAAGGTCAAGGATTTTTAAATTTTTTTATAGTGGTTTCTCCTTTTTCCATTTTTTAGAAATTTAGAAATATTTTGTCAAAATACGGTTTAAATGACAGCTCACGTTTTTATCATTGTTTAAATTTTAATTTTTTTCATCATTGGATTTTTAGCACCCTATTTTTTTCATAATTTTTACCCCAAACACCCAAAGATTTACATTAAACCACCTCATAAAGATTTACAAACTTCAGAAAAAAACGCGATCCAAATCGGTGCTCTTGTCTGGTTGTGTTGTCAAGATACTAGCAAATATACTCCCAGATATTTCACTTCCAGACACACACACACACACACACACATATATATATAT